AGAATCAGATACTAAATATACAAGAAATTTTTCTAAGTAAAAAGAAACTTTAATTCTAAAAATATAAAATGTCAATATTGCATAGTTTTCTAAGATTTTATGAAAAATATAACCTGTGTTTTCTACATGAGGAAATTTTATTTTCAAGGGCTACTAATACAGGATTGACCCTTTGTTCAAAAGGGAAAATTTACAGTAATATTTTATAAATTAATACTGAGTGGGAAGGCCAGTGTAAACTGACCTTCTTTCTTAACATAAATGAAACTTTATCAGTTTCAGGTATACAAAGTAGCTAGTGCTACTGAACTAACCCTAAGAGGTCCTTAGGAAAACAATATTAATGTTTGTAATTCAGTAAAATTTATAATTCAATTGTTAGTTAAATGTTAACTTTCAAATATCTCTGGTTGTTCTCATATAGTTTCTGTGCTCTTCCTGTAATCTAGTTATCATATTAATTTTGTCAGAGTAAAGGCAAATATATCTCTGTGGAAATCATAAACTTCTGTTTTAAATTAATGAGGTTTTTCTTGAATGTTAGGTATAAAGGATTTAAGAGTGGCATCAAGATTTACTTAAGGTGAAAACTGATTTAGAGGTAGTGTTCAGTAAAGTTAGCCACATTTGTATACTTTAGCCACTCTGTTAGCCACTCTGTATACTCAGAGATGAATATTTCCACTTCATGGCCTTAGCACTTTGTTTAATCTCTTCTAGGTGCTTTTTACTTATTGTTGGTGTATGTTCTCTCTTCCACTTAATGTGCGATTTGAGGTTAGAGATTGTGTCCTGTCCTTCACCATAGTTCCGAATAAATATTTATTGAATAAAAAAGCACTTTTGTGGCTAGCACTTTCACAGTAAAAAGGACTGTTGCCAAACTACTAATATATTAGGTGGCCAGATTTAAGAATATGCTTGAGAAAGATTTTGGAATGAGATATTGCTAGCTATGAATTTTCTCACTATTGTAAAATACAATTTGCTTCCTATACCAATGCTGCTTTAATCTTTTACAGCTAAAGTTGGCAAAAAAACAATTTTGTTAGTGCTATAAGAGGGCTTCATGGCTCTGCTACAAACATGGTCTGTGATCCCTTTATTATTATTCCTTGCTGTTAAATTAAGCTATACTAAAAGTTAGTGCTTTCTCTTTTTCCTTATCTTGGTGTTTTGAGTTCTGCTCTTTTTTTCAAGAAGACATTAGGTATTACAATATTAGATTCTTCTTCCTTTTTTTTTTTTTTTTTGAGGAAGAGTGGCCCTGCGCTAACAGCTGTTGCCAATTTTCCTGTTTTTCTTTTTTCTCCCCAAAGCCCCAGTACATAGTTGTATATCATAGTTGTAGAGTTGTAGCTCTTCAGTGTGGGACACTGCCTCAGCATGGCTTGATGAGCGGTGAGTAGGTCCGCACCCAGGATCCGAACCAGCGAACCCTGGGCTGCTGAAGCAGAATGCATGAACTTAACTGCTACACCGCCAGGCTGGCCCCTAGAATATTAGATTCTTGACTTTATCTTAGAGCCAAGTTTAACACCAATTTGAAATAAAAGACTGGGTTGATTTAGACTCCAAAGAAATCTTCAGCTAGGTAGCTTGTGAAGTATTGATCAAATTATATCATTCTTGAGGCATTATAAAGAAAGGATTCACATAGATTTATATATTTGAGGTTGCTTCTTTGAAATCCAGTTTTTTGAAAAATCAACTACTGAAGTATAATTTACATCTAATAAAACACACTTATTGTAATACAGTTTGATGTGTTTTGACAAATGTCTACAGCCATGTTACTACTACCACAACTAAAATAGAGAACATTTTGTTTCCCTCATATCCCTTAGCAATTAATCTCCCCCATCCTTCTCCAGCTCCAGACATCTGTTAATCTATTTTATGTCTTTATAGGTTAATATTGCCTAGTCTAGGATCTCTTGTAAATAGAATCATACATGTTGCCTGACTTCTTTCATTTAGCATAATGTTTTTGAGATTCATTTATGTTGTTACATATATTAGTAGTTCATTCCTTCTTGTTGCTGAGTTGGTATATCATTGTATAGATATATTATAATTGATTTATCCATTCACCTGATGATAGACACTTGAGTTGTTTCCAGTTTCGGATTTTTATGAATAAAGCAGTTATGAACGTTCACTTACAAGCCTTTGTGTGCACATGTAATTTCATTTCATTTCAGTAAACACAAAGAAATGGAATTACAGGGTCTTAGAGTAAGGCAAAATAATTGTGTACAGAGAAAATTCTAAGTCTACAGAAGAAGTACTAGAATTAATAAGCAGGTTTATCAAAGTCACAGGATAAGACTATATTGAAAAGTTAATTGCCTTTCTATATATTGGCAGTAAGCATTTGGAAACTGGAAAAGAAAAAAATAACGCCACTTACAATAGCATAAAAAAACTATGAACTACTTAGGGATGAATATAAAAATATATGACATACATTGAAAACTACAAAATACTAATGAGAAAAATTAAGACTTACATAAATGTAGAGATATACCTTGTTTATGGAGTGGAAGACTCAATATTATTAACATGTCAGTTCTTTCCCAAATGATCTATAAATCAACTCAATCCCAATCAAAATCCCACTAGGTTTTCTTATAGAAATACAAAGAACCTAGTATAGGCAGAACAGTCTTGGAAAAGAAAAAGAATAATGTTGGAGGATTATTTACACTACACTACCTGTCATTTTAAAACTCACTATGAAGGGGCCGGCCTGGTGGCGTAGCAGTTAAGTTCACGTGCTCTGCTTCGGTGGCCCAGGTTCGCAGGTTCGGATCCCGGGTGCGGACCTACGCGCCACTTATCAAGCCATGCTGTGGTGGCGTCCCTTATAAAGTAGAGGCAGATGGGCACAGATCTTAGCCCAGGGCCAGTCTTCCTCAGCAAAAAAAATAAAAGAGGAGGATTGGCAACAGATATTAGCTCAGGGCTAATCTTCCTCAAAAAAAAAACTTACTATGAAGCTACAGTAATTAATAGAGGGTGGTATTGCTATAGAGATAGACTTAAAGATCAGTGGAACAGAATAGTGTCTAGAAATAGACCCATCATTGATTTTCAATGAAGATACCACGATAATTCAGTGGAGAAAGGAGTCTTTCAAGAAATGGTGCTGGGGGCCGGCCCCGTGGCTTAGCGGTCAGGTGCTCGCACTCCGCTACTGGCGGCCCCGGGTTCGGATCCGGGTGCGGGCGCGCACCGACACACCGCTTCTCCGGCCATGCTGAGGCCACGTCCCACATACAGCAACTGGAGGGATGTGCAACTGTGACATACTGGCGCTTTGGGGAAAAAAAAGGAGGAGGATTGGCAATAGATGTTAGCTCAGAGCCGGTCTTCCTCAGCAAAAAGAGAAAGATTGGCATGGATGTTGGCTCAGGGCTGATCTTCCTCAAAAAAAAAAAAAAAGAAAGAAAGAAAGAAATGGTGCTGGAACAACAGGGTAACCATATGCCAAAACAAAAATTAAAAACAAACCTTGACTCTTATCTCACACTATACAAAAAATTAAAATGGATAATAGAACTAAATGTAACCATTAAAACTATTAAAACTTGTAGAAGTAAACATCAGAGAAAATTTTGCATTAGGCAAAGATTTGATGAGCCATAAAAGAAAACAATACATTAAGATAATGAAAAGGCAGGCTACAAGCTGGGAGAAAATATTTGAGGGATGTGTGTGTATGACTTGTATCCAAATATATAAAGAACTCTTATAATTCAAGAATAAGCAAACAACCCAGTTAAAACTGGGCAAAAGATTTGAACATACAATTTATAAAAGGTACCAAATGGCCAATAAGCACATTAAAAGTTGTTCAATATAATTGTACCATAAGGGAAATGCAAATTAAAACCACAGTGAGAGAACACTACACCCACTAAAATTGCTTAAAAAAAAAAAAGTACCAAAAGCTAGCGAGGATGTGGATTAACCAGAACCTTTCATACACTTCTCTGGGAACTATAGAAAAGTTTGGCATTTTCTTATAAAATTAAACATACAGTTACCCTAAGATCCTGTAATTCCGTGGTTCCATTTCTGTTCTTGAGATTAAGAACTTCTCTTGGTTATTCTGTATACGATATGTATGATAATACAGAATAACCAAGAGGTATGTTTGTGTATATGTGTATAGATCTGATATATGCGTATATATATTATAATATATATGATATACATGTGTTAATATTTATGATACATTAAATAGTGCTGGATTCAGTTTGCTAATATTGTTAATGATTTTTGTGTTTATATTAATATCTTGGCAGAATTTATTGTTCTTTTCTGCGAATCAGCCATTTATTTCATTGATTTTTTTCTGTTTTTCTGTTTTCTATTTCATTGTTCCTACTCTTTATTTCTTTTCTTCTTTTAAGGGAGAACTTACTCTTATATTTCCAGCTTAAGTTAGAAGTGTAGATGATTGATTTGAGACCTTTCTTCTTTTCTAATAGAGGCATACCTTGGAGATATTGCAGGTTCGGTTCCAGACCACCACAATAAAGTGAATATCACAATAAAGCGAGTCACACGAATTTTTTTGGTTTCCCAGTGCATATAAAAGTTAGGTTTACACTATACTATAATCTATTAAGTGTGCAATAGCATTATGTCTAAAAAGCACAATGTACATATCTTAATTTAAAAATACTTTCTTGCTAAAAAATGCTAACCATCATCTGAGCCTTCAGCGAGTTGTAATCTTTGCTTATGGATGGTCTTGTCTCAATGTTGATGGCTGCTGACTGATTGGGGTGGTGGTTGCTGAAGGTTGGGGTGGCTGTGGCAATTTCTTAAAATAGGACAACAATGAAGTTTGCCGCATCAATTGACTCTTCCTTTCATGAATGATTTCTTTGAGGCATGTGATGCTGTTTAATAGCATTTTACCTACAGTAGAACTTCTTTCACAACTGGAGTCAGTCCTCTCAAACCCTGATACTGCTTTATTAACTAAGTTTAGGTAATATTCTAATTCTTTTGTGTCATTTCAATAATCTTCACAGCATCTTCACCAGGAGTAGTTTCCATCTCAAGAAACCACTTTATTTGCTCATCCATAAGAAGCAACTCCTCATCCGTTAAAGTTTTATCATGAGTTTGCAGTAATTCACTCACATTCTCAGGCTCCACTTCTAATTCTAGTTCACTTGCTATTTCCACCACATCTGTAGTGACTTCCTCCACTGAAGGCTTGAACCCCTCAAAGTCATCCATGAGGGTTGGAATCAACGTCTTCCAAACTCCTGTTTATGTTGATATTTTTACCTCTTCCCATGAATCATGAATGTTCTTAATGGCATTTGGAATGGTTTTCATTTTACTTGGCCCAGATCCATCAGAGGAATCGCTATCTATGGCAGCTATAACTTTACAAAATATATTTCTTAAATAATAAGACTTGAAATTCGAAATTACTCCTTGATCCATGGGCTGCAGAATGGATGTGTGTTAGCAGGCATGAAAACATTATTAATCTCTTTATACATCTCCATCAGAGCTCTTGGGTGACCAGGTGCATTGTCATTGAGCAGTAATATTTTGAAAGGAATCTTCTTTTCTGAGCAGTAGGTCTCAACAGTGGGCTTAAAATATTCAGTAAACCATGTTATAAAGAGATGTGCTATCATCCAGGCTTTGTTGTTCCATTTATAGAGCACTGGCAGAGTAGATTTAGCATAATTTTTAAGGGCCCTAGGATTTTCAGAATGGTAAATGAGCACTGGCTTCAACTTAAAGTCACCAGATGTATTAGCCCCTAACAAGAAGCTCCGTTATTAGGTGACTGCACATTTAGAATTATTTCTTCTCGATAAATTGACCTCTTTATCATTATAAAATGCCCTTTTTATCCTTGGTAGTATTCCTCGTCCTGAAATCTACTTTGTCTTATGTCAGTATAGTAACTCTAGCTTTCTTATGATTAGTGTTTGCATGTTACATCTTTTTCCATTCTGTCTTTTAACCTGTGTGTGTGTCTATATCACTGTTTCATGTAGATATCATATAGTTGAGGCTTGCTTTTTTTTAATCCATTGATAATTTCTGTCTTTTAATTGGCGTATTTAGATCATTTACATATAATATGAGTAAATTTGGATTTAAATTATCATCATTTTCCCATTTGCCTCTTCTCTTCTTCATTCCTTTTTCCCTCTTTTTTTTCTTGTCTTTTTTAGTGTTCCATTATACCTCCACTTTTTGTTTACTAGTGGTTGCTTTAAAGTTATCACAGTCTACCTTCAAATAATATTAGACCTCTTTATGTAATGTGTAAGAACCTTTTAATAGTATAGGGCCATTTATCCCCCCCCACTCTGTTTCTGGGCTTTGTGCTAATTATTATCGTTCATTTTACTTTATATATGCTATAAACCCCCCAATGCGTTACTTACTTTGACTTTAAGGAATTATTTCTAAAGAGATTTAAAAAATGAGAATAAAATATCTTTCATATTTACTGTTACTTGTGCTCTACATTCCTTTTAAAGAGATCTACATTTTCATCTAAGTATCATTTTCCTTCAGCCTGAAGAAGTTCCTTTAACATTCTTTGTTGTGCTGGTCTTCTGGTGTTGCTCTTCTGCTTGCATTATCTCTGATGAGAAGCCTGCAATCATTCTTATCCTTCTTTCCCTCTATAATAATGTAATGCATGAGTTTTAGATTTTCCCTTTATCACTGTTCTTAAAAATTTGGTTATGATTTGCCTTGGTTTCATTTTTCTTTGTATTTATGTTGCTTGGAATTTTATTCCGAAATCCATTTTTGAGCATCTTCTCTAAAAATGTATTTGTGTATTCCTAATTAATTGAAGAAGTTGAGGATTTTTTTAGAATTATACTTAAAGACACTATTAACTCCAGCAAAAAGAGTGGTAACAGTTTTTATTACTACTTTTCTAATGAATGCCTCTTGATTTATTAAGAGTTATTTAGGGGTTTTAGGTATCATTGCAGTTATATATGTCTTTATTGAAAGAAAGTATTCCCTCTCCCCCACATTTACCTCTAATTTTTATGTAGTATTTTCAATTTTAGTACTTAATTTGTTGAAGTATTGACCTTAACTTTAAGACAAAACACTAATTTTTTTGATTTGCATAATTAACTGATTCAGATCATTTTAATGTTTCAAAATACAGTTACACATAACTATAATAAAATGAAGTTAGTTGTTTTTCTCTGTGTTTAGGTTGAAACTCATGGCGTTATTCCTTTGTTTAAATATGTAAATGGTCTTCTAATAATTTAACTTTATTTCTAAGACAGTACGTGGGTTTTGACCATAAACTATTTTTGCTTTGAATTTAATAAGGACTAACAGAGTGAAACAGTAATGGCAGATTCTTCATTATCTCATATTCTTTTTTAGGCCTGATCAACCCCGAATAACCAAAGATGTAATTTGTTTTCATGCTGAAGATTTCTTAGAAGTAGTTCAACGAATGCAGTTAGATTTACATGAACCTCCACTGTCTCAGGTATATTTTAAACCGTTATTATCTTCAGTTTAATTTTTATTGTGGAAAAGACTTATTGGTATTCCTTCTTTTCGTTTTTTAGTGTGTCCAATGGGTTGATGATGCAAAACTTAATCAACTGAGGAGGGAAGGCATTCGCTATGCCAGGATTCAGCTGTATGATAATGACATTTATTTTATTCCAAGGAATGTTGTTCATCAATTCAAGACAGTTTCAGCTGTATGCAGTTTAGCGTGGCATATTCGGCTCAAGTTATATCACTCAGAGGAGGACACTGCTCAGAACACAGCTACTCATGAAACAGGCACATCACCAGATTCCACATCATCAGTTCTTGGACCTCACACTGACAACGTGATTTGTGCTGTGAGCAAAACCTCCTTGGATTCTGTTTTTTCAGAGAAACTTCATTCTAAATATGAATTACAGCAGATTAAACATGAACCTATTGCATCTGTAAGAATCAAAGAAGAACCTGTGAATGTGTATATTACTGAAAAGACTAGAGCACCGAATAATACGGATGGCAAGAATGTTAAAGCAAAATTGGATCATGTTCAATTTACAGAATTTAAGACTGACGTGGACTCTGAATTTGAAAATAGCAACAAAGATTTAAAGGAAGAATTGTGCCCTGGAAGTCTCATAAGTCTAGTTGATACAAGGCAACATAGTTCAGCACATTCAAATCAAGATAGAAAAGATGATGACGTTTTGTGCTAAATTTGTACATACCATTTAAAATTCTCTTTTTTTTAAACTTAATAATGTAATAAAGATTCATGAATTCTGAAAGCAAGCCAAGGACTTGCTCCCAAGTCTGTTACAAAATATAGTTTATGTAGCTTTGTAACATTCCTCAGTGCCTGTCCATAACTGTGAAGTATCAAAGCACTTAGGGCCAGACGCACTGTAAACATTGCAGGTTTAAACAAAAGGAGTCTTTAAAAAATCATTTGAGTTAAGTCGTGGGTTTTAGAATAGAGCTGACATTAACATATATATATATATTTTTTGTAATATGAGCCAGAATTCTTTTTCGACAATTTAAGGCTTTTCCATAGAGCTTATTTATACCAGTTTTCTTTTTTTCATTTAAAATGTGTCAGCACTGTAGTGTAAATAGCTTTTAAAAAATCTTTTTAGTGTGATTTATACTGATATGTGAGCCACTTAATAAAGGTTCATAATAATAAATATGTTTTCTGTTGGGTCGGCAAAAAGACAAACTGACAAAATTCAGTTAAATCATTTATTTGCTCTGTTATGTTTCTGCTGGTATATTCATTTAGAGTGGTAATGGAGTGCAAATGTCCATATTCAAATCTAGTGAATATTTAAATTTCCCCACACTGTGCAAGCATTTTTTAAAACCAAGATTCAGTTATGAAAACATATTTATATATGTGTGTGTATGTATGGGAATATATATATGTATATCATATTTTGCATAACTTCTTAAATTGCTGAATAAGATGAGTATGTGAAACTTTCTAGCCCTATTCCCTGGAAAACATTTTAAAATATTTATATGCAACATTAAGAAAGCAGTTGAGGTAATAGAAACAATTTTATAAAGTTGGGAGAAACAGAGTCTGTTTGTGATATCCAACCCTTCTAACTAATGAAGTTATGTGGCCAGATTATATAGCCCTAACATAAATTTTCTTTGTAATATATGAAATAAGAAGTTGAGAAAATTTTGTTACTATTAAGCACCTATACTATACTTAATAGTAGCTGAGTAAAAATCTTTAGTTACAGAAAGTTTAATTGTGAACAGTTAAAATCCTCTTTTACATTTTTCTTATGGAACAGGAGGAAAATATGGCAAATACAAAATCTTAACATAAGGGCAATGACTCAACTGCCATATACAGAGATATAACTAACACAATAAGATGTGTCACCTCATCTTTCTAAGGATCCCTCTCCCTACCCTAGCAAGGTAAACAATTTAGAGTACTTCTTTTTGAAAAGAAGCTCTAGAAGGTAAAATTGGGGTAGGAAATAGGATTTTCAGTGCCTCACTAAAGATGATTAAAACAAATCTTTTCAGTGATGGACTTCCGGCACCATTTCAGACTGCTTCTACTAACTGTAATTAAAAGTCAAACAAATGTCTTTAATGTATGCTTTGATGTAAGGAACTCTGCTCATGGCAAATCTATTTTATTTTATTTGTCTTGGGTATTTTTCTGGGCTTATACTTTGGTTGATGACTTTCACCTGGGGTTCTTTGTGCTGCCTTTTGGGCTAGTGTTGCTATTCCCATTTCATTGGTTTCTCACCCAGCCTCATTTGTGGTACCCATAAAACTGCTTATCTTTCTGGTTAGGGAGAAGCCACTTAGAAAGAGGCATTTCACCAGAAAAAATAAACTGCAGCAGTGATGTGATTTCTGGCCCGCAGTTTAAAAGGGTAGGCAAATATTGTAGGAAATTTCGATGGTTTGTAGGAAATCAATATATGTATTTGCAACATAGGAATTTTCATGGGATGAAGAAGGTATAAATCATGATAATGTAAATAGGGATTTTGTTTTATATGTTACTGGCTTACCCTGCCCCTCACCACTTTAATCTTCTCTTTTAAGCTATATTTATATATTTGTACCTACCTTTTTGGGAGACAAATGTTCATAGCAAACCAGTATTGAGAAATAGGAGGGGATGTGGTTAAAATATTGTTTTTCTTTTCTTGTTTTTGTTTTTTTTTCGTTTTTTTTTTTGGTGAGGAATATTTGCCCTGAGCTAACATCCGTTGCCAGTCTTCGTCTTTTTTTTTTTTTGCTTGAGGAAGATTCACCCTGAGCTAACATTTGTGCCAGTCTTCCTGTTTTATGTATGTGGGTTGTGGCCACAGCATGGCCACCAACAAGTGGTGTAGGTCTGTGCCCAGGAACCAAACCTGGGCCGCCAAAGCAGAGTGCGCCGAACTTAACCACTAGGCCACGGGGCCGGCCCTGTGTTCTTCTTTTTTTAACCGAAGGGTGATATATTTAACAAGGTTTGTTTTTGTTCCAATTTTCCAGTAGCATACACATGGACGCATGAGATCATACTGTAATAAATGTCTTTAGGGTATCCCTCCAAAATATATGAGCCTTAAACTTTTAACTTAAAGACATATCTAAAACAACCATAGTTGCTTTTAGGTATAGTTTCCTATATAACCTATAGTCAAACTTCTCCATATTTTGAAATTTTAATTGTTTTGTAAAATGCATATATCTCCATGGAGGTGAAGTATAAATCAGTGGGCTCCGATTTCAAGATACAGCCTTGTCACCTTCAGTAATGTGTATGTTCCTTGTCTTACGGGTTATCATTTTAAAATCGTCTTCAGATGCAATCTGAAAACTTGCTGACTACCTTTGTTACACACAAATAATTTCTACTTCAATATTGCATTATATTAATGGTTTCCTAGTAGTACATTCCAGTTCTTTATCTGAACACAAGTTTTTTGCTGTTATTTCCAATTTCTTGGACCAGAACAATAAAGCACTTAATATATAGTTTCTATATGATCTTATACTATATAGACTAAACAGTTGTTATGTAAATTATTAAATTGATACACAGACCTTTACAGAAAAACTAAGGTACCTCAGTGGTGTCTGCTACAGTGCTTTTTTTTCTTTTTAAATTACTTTTGTTCATACCCGTTTAGCTATCTAAGTAATATATATTCCATACTCAGGTTAGCTGGTTAGCTAGCAAAAGAATTAAGCATTTGTGATATTTAGTTGAAAATTTTACTAAAGCCATATTCATTATCTTCCTTGTCACTAAGGCTGTTGACCTTAAATAAAGATTAGGTTGATCTAGTACAACACTCGGTGTGTGTGTGTGCATGTGTGTGTAAGATTATTGGAAATATTATGTTTGTTTCCACATATATTCATTTTTAATCCATTCTATAACTGGGGGGGTCATGGAGGGTAGAAAAGATTTTATTTCTTGAGTTAAGTCTTCGAGGTATTTCATTAGTGTTCCTGAGTGTAAAACACTTTTTTCCAAATTCGTATGGCAGGTAAGATCATTTTTGTAAATAATAGATTAGCAGTGTTTTGGTAAATTTGCATTCAGTTATTTTTTGGACAAGTTCATTGTCATGTAAAGCAAATATCTCAGAATTCATTTCACATTTAGCAAAGGTGCAAGATTTGTTTTTGGAGTTTGAGAGGAATTTGTCTTCCACCTTTCAATAAATACTAAAATTGATAACCATAATGTTTTTACCTTTGTTTTGTAATTATTTTCTTACATTTATTTTATTTTCATCTCATCATGCTTTAAAAGTTCTTATTTCTCTGTCTTCAACAGAAACCATAAGATCTTGAAAGTGATTCCAATCTGAAAATCTTTTTTCTTCTTAAAAACTATCAAAAGTTGACTAGTGCGAACAGAAGAATACTGAAGATTACCTTAAACAAGGTTGCTGAACTAGTTACGTGTGGGTGCTGGGATGGCCTGGTAAATCACCTCCCTTCCCTCTAGACATGACTATTTCTATCCCAGGAGGGGAGGACAAAAGTGCCACTGTTTGCAAATTACTTTTAAGCTGGTAAAAAATGACATGATGGGTTTTAGGTCTTCAGAGTTGTAGAATAGCTCCTACTTAACCTTTCTCCCACCTGATGTAACTACTTTGATATGTAAACAAAGTTTTACTGGTTTTAGAATGCATTGTCTATTTCATGAAGGAGGTATGTTTGGTATGTTTGGCACTGATAGTACACTTCAGGTAAAATCACGAAGAGGACAGCTCAGGAGAGGTCTAAGTCCCTTTATCTCTGTCCTGGCTTTTCTGTTCAGTTCTTCCTATAACCCACTGCGTATTGCAGATGGAAGTGATTGCTTTTTAGAATGTCAAGCACAGAAGCCTAAAAGCAGAAATATCTTTCCTTTTTAAGTTTACAGACGCTGTATATCATCTCTCTACTGGGAGAGCAGGGAACAGGGCGTGGAGTGGGGGTTGGGTAACATCTTGCATTTCAGGTTATCTTCCCTTCCAGGACTTTAGACCCAAACAGGGAGTGTGAATGAGCAGAGAACAAAATGTGGACAAACAGAATTTGTTAACTAGAAATTAAAAGTAAAATTTACTAATTGTATGTTTTTATTACTATTATCTACCTTCCAAGAACTGCACTATCAAAATATGAGAACTTCTGGATCCTTCTACACATTTTGAAATTTAGAATTTATGCATCTATGTTTTTAAAATGTTAAATCTTTACACCTTCCTATAAAGTTCATTGCTGTTGTACTACTAAAGACTACTAAGTGTGCAGACTCAGAAGCAAGTCAGTATAGTTGCAAATATTTTGCATAATACAGTGTTTAAAATTTTATTTGGACAGTTAGATCTCCTCCACCCCAAGTTTTTTCTTTTCTTGAAATTTTGTTTTTGTTTTTAACCGAGCCAGATTTTTATGTGAAAAATCTCAAGTCTGTCTTCTTTTAAAAACACCCTTGAGTCTGGCTTTTGTTTATGCTCTTGTTCCATCTTTCTTCCTGACTAAGTTCTTGGAAATTCCATCTGCCTTCACTTCCTCATCTCACTATAATTTCATTTTAATCCTCAAATTTAATCACTGAGCTGAAGTGGTTCTCTCAAAGGTCACCTTTTGACTGCCAAATCCAGTGGCTACATTTCTTCGTACTTCTGTTTAACCCTTGCAGCACTTAGCATTTACTCCTTAAAACTCTGTATGACCCATCTGTTTTTGTTTTGTTTTGTTTCGTTTGCTTTTCGTTTCTGTGGATGGCTTCTTTTGCCTATTCACTA